TTTCTTCATTTTCTACCCCCTCTTCCCTTATTACTACTATCCATTCTTATTAGCCCCCTTCCCACAGAACTATTTCATTCCACTTCCTCGGCCTTCTACTGCTTCCATCACTGCAAACCTTTTGAGTACTGTCTTTGGCCCAGCCAAGTGGGATCGATTCTTTGTGATTCCCTCCAAGGCCCTTTACTCTGAGAATACTCTTCTTTTTCAACAATGTCTATAAAAACAAGTAGTAAAGTTTCCTTTCGCAGTCGTTCCAAGTCGTACATCTGAATCCCAAGCTCGAGCATTATCTACCCTAACCGACCTCACTGGCAAACCTATTCCTGCCCAACCTCACTCCTCTCTTAATACTTGTACTGGAACTGTTTTTGTCTCCCCGACTGATTGTCCTATCTACAAGAACTGATTAGATTGTGAAAATTACCTACTTACCTGCCTTGATTATGATCCAGTGGCAGTAAAGTATTACCCTAACCCTCCCAGAGGCCATCGCAAGTCCCATACCAATATTGCCAAGATTAGCTTCCGTAGACGCGACCTCCCTCGTGAAATTTATAATGGTGGAGTGTCCTACCATGTCGGACCATGTAAACCCCCTTCCTCTCAATGTCAGAAATGTTGGCGCTTTAGCCACCCAGCCAAACACTGTCGTTCCACAGCCGACTACCGTTCAAAATGCTCTGCTCAGTCACGTATATGTACCAACTGTGCCTCCCATAATGTATTTTTTAGGAGCTGCCTGTAAGCTCAAATATGAGATAGCCGTTCTCAGATTGAAGCTAGGCCTCACTCTACGTGAGGTCAGCCATGCGCTAGGACAAGATTTTTATCTCTACCTATTCCAAAATTGTCCTTCGCTCTGCTCCTTTCCCATCTTCTCAAGATGTCTCAGCATATCCTCTAGTATCTCTCCCCTCTACCTCGAACCATCCTACCTTTACTCCCCCTCTCCCCAGGTCAAATTCCTTTTCCAGTCTAAATCCAGATACTCCAATGTCTGCCACCCGATACCTACCCCTCCTCCTCAGCGACGTTCCACTCCACCTTCTACCACATCCTCTCCTACACCCTCATCTTCCTCTGCTCCTCAGATATCTATCCCTGCTTCTCCTTACAACAAAACCTTTGATTCTCAGGCCTCTTCAAACAACGCCCCTCCAGAAATTCGTGAAGACATCCAAAGCTTTTTCAACATGACCCAAGGGAACATCCCGCTTCCTCATTCACCCTCTGTTTCTATTCCCTCTACATTTCAGCTAATTGCCGATATCCATCTCCTCCTCCCGAAGCTCCACTCACCCCTTCCTCCTACACTCTCCCAACACACACCAGCCTCTTTATCACTCCCACCTGATTGCTCCCGTGAATCCCTTGTGTCGCAACATTGTCCTTCTCCAGACCCCTCCCCCCCCCCCTGACACTCTTCCTGATATTTCACCATCTCCCCCCCCCCCGGATTCTCCTTCTCCAACTGCCATCTCCATTTTCCTTGATCAATGTCCCTATTCCTTCCCCAGTCACACAGGCACTGCAATTCCCTCAATCACCCAACTCCCTTAACTCTTTCCTTTTTTAAATCTTTGCTCTACTTCATTTGTTCCCATCTTTTCCCTTATCACCACAATACTAACCTATAGCGCTCTCTAATATTTGACATCTAACACATTTTATCCTATATTTTAACTCGTCTTTACCCTTTTCTCCACAATACTTTACTATAGGACCTTTGATGTCTAGCACATTTATTCGTTTCAATGCTTAACCATAAACCATTTATGTCCTTTAGCAAAGGTATATTTCTGATAATCATAATTAAGTCAGGTACTACCAATACAAGTAGAAGGATCTAAAAAAAAAGATGGAAAGGCTGTTTATCTGTACCTTGAAGGACAAGAAGATTAGT